ATTTCCCAGACTCCCCTGCAGCCAGGGTGCAGGCCTTCAACACAGATTCTACCCAGTGGCCACGTGCATCAGCTGGACCTGGCTGTGGAGGCGAGTCCTGTGAGGCGAAGTCTTTGGTGGGCAGGCGAGATCTTCTGGCAGGCACAGGGGCAGGGGTATCTGGTCTTGTGGGGTCACAGAATTTGTGATGGGTGCTGATACCAGCAGAGTGTCTGCTAGACAGTGCCAGGTCAGGGTTAGGCACTTTTCTGGCTGTGGTGACCCTTGCAGGGCACTCGAGCTTGGTCTCTGGCTCTCCTAGAGATTTTGTGAGCCACGAAACACCCTGTAATAAATTCCTTTCTGCTTAAACTGCTTGGAGTAGATGCCATCGTCTGCAGCTGGGAAGCCCTGATCACTAGAACCTAAGAGATGCTAGAAATCACTATGAAGTGTCAAAGTAACCAGAGATCTGCTCACGGGGCCTATTGGTTCACCTCTGTTAGAAGGAGTCCAGAGTCGTGCTTGTGTTTGAAGGTTCACGGACATTAGAAGAGCTTTGGGTGTGCTTCACAGAAATATCCCACTGTGGCGTGGCTGTTATCAGATCTGCCCTGGATCATTCATTGGCTCTATTTTTTGCCCATTAGCTGGTCAAGAAAACGTCCAAAGAAACAGACTGATCACAAGAGATGCATCGTGATGCCACATAAAGGTATCACCTGGAGCCCTATGGTACTTAAAACCATAGAGACCATCTGGCCTGGCCTCCTCATTTTGCAGCGAGCGAGGTCTCCCTAGGACGGGGACCTGCCCAAGGCCATCTCTGAGTGCCTAAGCTGGGACTCAGACCCAAGAGCCTTAACTTTTGCCTGCCCTGTGCTGCTTCTCGGCAAGCTTTTTCTGTTATTTTTCTCTGTTGTAAATTCCGGTTTGATTTGACGGTACATTTAGGCATATGAAGGTGTGAGAATCCAATAGCGCAGGTGGGTGGAGCGCCTAAGACCTGAATGTTTGCTGTACTCAGGGTACTCGGGGCAAGGCAAGGCCTGGTGGGCCGTCCCTTCCACACCACACTGGCCGCTTTATTTGGTTAAGACAGTAGCACATTATGTATCCCTGGGACTCCAAGGGTCTCAGGGACAAGAGTGCTGCTGTGACTGCAGAAGACTTTGTTGTCCCCAGTGTGGGGCTGCGCTGCAGGGGGGACTGTCTTTTCACTTCTCCAGGCCCCTCGCTGTGTTCCTGCCCTTTGAGCACAGAGGAAGGAGCGAGCATCCCTGGGGGACTGCCACGGGCCAGGCATGGCGGGCGGCTCCTTATAGATAGTACTGTTCTATTTAAACTAGTTAATTTTCTGTCTCAACCCGTAAGCGCTCAGAGGGCTTGTGTGTCACATGCCTGAGCTCCCCAGTAAATGCGTGGAGATGAGATTCACATCCACTCTTTCCCGCTCTTCGCCCTGTGCCTTTCTGCGTTGTTTTGCGTCTTTGTTTTCGCTGAGGCGCAGAGCGAGCTCTGGAGCTCTGTGCCGTGGGCGTGGGCTCGCCCTGCTTTCTCTCATCAGCACCGAGGACACCGAGCGGCAGGTACCTGATTCCAGAGCAGGTGGAGGCAGCCTCAGCCCCGCCCTCCCCACCGCCAAGGAGCCCTGGACACATGTGGGATCTGACCCCCCACCATGGCGGCTGCCAGGGGAGTGTGCGCCTCTCACCCTCAGGCCAAGGGCCTGTCAGCTCCTCTGGCCGCCCTGACTTAGCTACTTAGAATTCCCTTGAAGTGAGAGCAGCCACCAGTCTTATGTAGACTGGAGCCTGGCACATAGTAGGTGCTAGTGCATGTTTATTGAATGGATGAATGAACAGAAAATGAAGCACTTTGCTCAAAGGCCAATGTGACCCATTTCCTCCCTTCTTCTAAAGCTCCCTTTTGCCCTTGTGGCTCAGGGATGCTTGCGCAGACCCCAGTCGCAGCGGGGCGGGGCTGGGTCTCTCCAGGCGGCCTGAGACAGACTCTGAAGCCCCCATGACAGACAGACAGCACACTCTGCAGCCAGCAGGAGGAGCCCCTGGCATGCCTTGCAGGCCCCTTGGCTCCGGGAGACTTCAGCGTAGGAGCGAGGACTTCTCTTTCCTGAGACAGAGTAGGGGGAGGGACTTCCCTCAGTATTATTTCCTGGAGCAGGTGGGTTGTGAGAACAGCATTACAGAATTCCAGCCCAGTCCAAGCCGGGAAGGGCATTGCCCCTTTTAAAGCAGTCAACCGCTTAACAAAACAAAACAAAACGTTAAAATAAGACCAGCGTGGTGTTAAAATATTAGAAAATAGAGAAAGCCATCACCCTAAATTCCATAATACTAACATCACTGTAGTGTATAGTATATATACAGTTTATAGTATATGGTATATTGTATACATACTATTGTATAGTATAGGCTATATTATAGTATGTATACATATGTATATTTTCTTATATATAGTTTTAGTATTTTTTGAATGTTTTTTGTTTGGTAGATAAACTGCTTTTTTTGAAAAAAAAATTAATCAGAAAGAGATTTATTATAGGATATTAGATAGTTTGTAGGATTTCCAGACGGACAGACAACCAAATCTGTATGCTCCACAGCCAGAAACAAAACAGCCTTGGAGAAGCGCGCAGCCACACCCTGGAACTATGCCAATGGAAAGGAAAGCCCACCGTTGCTCCCAGCCCTGTTTGTTTTACCATTTATTTGTGTCTAACACTTTGCTCAACATGGCATTGTAAGCTTTCTTCCACGCTATTGCATGGTTTTTATAGCCATACTTCAAAAATGAATCATTTATTTATAAAAACAATCAGGTCTTGCTTGGCTGGGTAAGAATGCACAGGCCTGAGAAGTGGCCACTGTTGGGTGATCCCGGCCGGAGCGGAATTGGCGCCAGCAGACCCGCACGTGGCTCATGTCCTGAACATCCCCCAGGCTGTCCACTCCACGGGTCGTACGCGTTCTTCCTCCTGCTGGAAGACCCCACCTTTCTGTGAACCCTGGGCACCCCCTGCTGGATCCTCGGGGCTCTGCTCAGACGCTGCACTCGCCAGTGTGTAACGCTCACGCGTGTGCAGGTCCCTGTGCTCTGTCCTTGTCATCACTGTCACCGTGTCACCTAGCACAGGGCCAGCACGCCGGAGGCTCTCAGTGAATGCTTGCTGAGTGAGTGAAAGAGGGCGTCAGTGAAGAATATGACCTGGTAGTCTTTATGTTTTTTCCAGGGTTTTTCCTTTGGCTTATGTATTTTTTCATAGACTAGATTATACCAAATATGTAATCTTTTTGTCCTTTTCCCTCCTCAACATTACATCGTAAGCATGGCGCACACCACCGTCCAAGGCTGCGCAGTGTTTCGTCGTGGGTGTGCATCATCGTTTATTTGCCAGGTCTCGTCGTTAGGCATTTCGGTGTTTATTGTTTTTCACCACCATAAACAATACTGCGGTGAACATCTTTGTTCCCTCCTCCCATTAGGCAGATCTGACCCTCTTCAGAGTGGTGCGTCCAGCACCTGAAGGAAGGGTACCCTCGGAGTCCGAGCTCGCTGGGGGCTTCCCACCCTCACAGTGACTCTTGGCAGCCACGGTCCAGTCAGCTTTCTTCTCAGTGAGTTCAAATGGCTGACTGCCCTGCTACTTCCCTAAGGAAAAACCAGGCGGGTACTCGCTGGGGGCAGCGGTAGGGCCAGGGGGAAACGAGGGAACGGGAAGACGCTGGTGACCCTCGGTGGGGCCTCGCCTTTCAGACTTATGTCACAGTTGGAAATCCAAGGGTGCCCTTCCACTGCAGGTAGCCACCTCCCTGCCACACCTGAGTGCAAGCCTTCGGTGCCCGGGGTAGCGGGGGCAGGGAGGAGGGAGTGTTGTCTGTGCTGGAGAGGATCTGGGGGCCTCAGGGAGGAGGCCGTGCCCGAGCTGCCCTGTGGAATGAGCCGGAGTTCGTAGGTAGGAGGGGAACGCAGCTGTCCGTGTGCACAGCGAGGCCTAAGACGACACACGTGGGGGGTCTCGGGGGAGCCCTGGGAAGCTCGGCTGGGCAAATGCACAAGCCTGAGAAGTGGCCACTGTTGGGTGGTCCTGGGCCGGAGCAGACTCCACTAAGCAGGGGGCTGGGATGGCAGCAAGGGGAAGAGTGGGGACACAAGACTCTCACAAGAAGCCTGGCTTGGAGAAAGTGGAAGGAGACCAAGCGGAAGCTGGCAGGGGACGTGATGCTGTCAAAGGGGCTGCTCACCCACAAGGGTCCGGCAGCCCAGGGAGCAAAGGGATGAAGCGAGAGCAGGGACAGAGAGGGTTGCTGTGAGGAGCGGGGACTGTGATGTGCACAGTCCTCCAGGGCTGTGACCCCCTGGTGCTGTGGCCTCCCCTGTGTCCTCCACACTCAGCCAGGGCCACAGGGCCAGCACTGAACAGGAGCTGATGGCACACGGCTTCCTGGCACTGGAGTCTGCTTACTGATAGATGATCCAGAAACTCCTGCAGGGAACTGGGGGCTGAGCGCCGTCCCTAGAGCAGGCTCTTTCCCTTCCCCTCCAGCCTCTCCCTTTCTCAGCCATTTCTGCGAGGGGAATCCCGTGTCCAGGGGCTGCTGCTCCCAGGCGTTTTCAGCAGAGACCTCTGTCCCCAGCCCTGCCACTGGAGGTGGGCTCTGGAGTCCAGTGCTGTCCAAGTTCCCCCTCTCCTTGGAGGCAGTGCGGTTGGTGCTCCCATTCCACAAATGCAAAGGAGTCCCCAGCATCAGGTGGCTTCTCTGATGTCAGCCTGATTACATGTTTGCCCGAGTGGCAGCGAGTGCCTGTCTTACTGCCTGTCGCTCTCTCTCTTTGCAGGGCCCTGTGGCCGAGTGTGTCCCGTCCAGCCATCCCAGTGAGCTTCCCTATCTCCTGGCTCCTCCCTTGGCTAACCCTTGAGGAACCTCAGAGCCCTGAACACTGATGGCTGCAGGAGCATCTGCCGTGCCCAGCTGGTGGCCCAGGCTCCGCTGACCAGCATGGCTGCTGGGAAGGGGGCCCCACAGGGCCCGTCCGCTGCAAACAGATGGCGGTTTAGCGAACCTGAGCAGGGCCAGGGCCGCAAGCCGGTGCTGCTCGAGAAAACGAACCGCCTGGGCTGCGAGGCTGCCGTGGGCAGGGGGGCCCGGGATGCGGCATGCACTGAGCTGGCACTGTCAGCAGCGGTGGGCAAACCCAGACTGGGCAAGCCGCTGCCCCGGAAGGCGCGTGGGGAGCAGAGGCAGAGCGCCTTCATGGAGCTGCCGAGGCTCAAGGAGAGGCTGGGGGGCGGTCGGGCCCAGGAAAGGGGGCACGATGACCCCGCAGGCCAGCCTGGCCCTGCACAGCTGATCCAGGATGTCCCCAGGGACCCAGTCAGCAGCACACTCTTGTCTGTGTGGCCCAGCAGAGCCCAAGGTGAGCAGAGAAGCGCCTTCAGCAAGCCGACCAAGCGACCAGCAGAGAGGCCCCGGCCAACCCCCGTCTTCCCCGCAGGTGAATCTGCAGACACCCTGGGGGAGCTGTCTGGACTCATCCACACTGTAGGCACCCCTTGTTGGGGTCGACTTTCAACTCCCAAGCTTTTGATCAGTGATCTCTGGAACTTGCAAACGTTGCCACAGAATGCTCCATTCTGCAGCGCTTTCCTGGGTGCCCCCAGACTGTGGCTGGAGCACACCCAGGCCCAGGCACCCACGCCCCTGTCATCCTCCCCTACCTCATGGGCCCTCCTGCCGCCCACCCTCACCTCCCTGGGCTTGTCCACCCAGAACTGGTGTGCAAAGTGCAACCTCTCTTTCCGCCTGACGTCCGACCTGGTCTTCCACATGCGGTCCCATCACAAAAAGGAGCCCACGGGGCTAGACCCGCATTCTAAGAAGCGGAGAGAAGAGGCCCTCACCTGCCCCGTGTGCCAAGAGTACTTCCGGGAGCGCCACCATCTCTCCCGGCACATGACTTCTCACAGTTAGCTGGTGGCCGCGGAGCCACCATGGGGTGCAGCATCCAGTATTGGCAGTGGGACAGGGGGTCTCCCTGGGCCTCCCTTTGAGGAGGCTGCTCAGTCGTCTGCGGGGCTGGCTCCTTTGGCATCCATAGACGAACAGCTCAGTTATAATTTGCAAGAGACAAGCAAGCCTGTGCAACGTGTGTTGAAGAAAGTGGAGTCCTGAAATAAAACGATGGGCTTTGCTCATCCAAGGTGTAGTCCCCCAGAATGGGGGCCTGCTCCTGGCGCACAGCATGGGCTTTGGAGGCAGACAAGCCTGGATTCTGGGCTCTTGCATGTGCTAGCCATGACCTTGGACAGGGGTTTTCACCTGCTGGGCTCCAGTTTTCCTGCAGTAAAATGGAGCTGGCAATATCTGTGTCTTAGGGTTGGCGTCTGAGTCACATGGAAGGCGTATGGAAAGTGGCCAGCATGCTGCCTGGCAGACCACGGTGCTGCATGAGCGAGGTTTATGCCAACTGTACTGGTCAGCCATCGTTATTAACTGGCTCTCAGTGGCAGACAAGCAAAAGCATCTGTGTCTCGATCACGGTCTGTGGGTTGGCTGGGGTGGGCTGGGCTTGGCTGGGCTACAGGTTTGATTCAAGTCAGGCTGTTTCTCTGCTGGGGCTGATGGGCTACCCAGAGCAGATTTCTCTTACGGCTCTGCCAAGAGCATAAGAGGACGAGCCCCAAAACACAAGCGCATCTCAAGCCTCTGCTTGAGTCATGGCACTAACATCCTCTTGGCCGATGCGAGACATAGGGCCAGGCCCAATGCTGAGGAGTGACAAAGCACAGGCTGCCATCGGGGAGGCCATGGCCGGAGTACGCGGGCATTCCCTCTCCTGGAGGGTGAGGAGTCGGGACTGGGAGTTCAACCTGCCACACTGCGCATAGGTGAAAAGGGGCACATAGAACACACCCCCACCTGCACGCACACCCGTTAGCTCCCAAGAATGGGGCATGTGCAGAAACTTCAGGCTGCAAACACTGTGAGGATTGGGAGAATTCTGGGTGCCACTTACTATCTACCGCGTTTCTGTCAGTAGCTATTGTACATCCCCACATGGGCCCTCGTCCCCAATAGTGCAAGGCACGGGCCACACCCTCTGGCGTGACACAGGCCAGTCCACGTGAAAGCCCTTCCCATGGAGCTGCTGAGCCAGTGCAGCTTGTTCCACCGGTTTCCGCCTCACTTTGAGGACTTGCTCATTTCCAGCCCTCCGGTGGGGTGTCCGGCACAGGGCACAGTCCTGTGGAAGGAGCCAGGGTAAGCTGGTGGGGGGTCTCAGCCAGCTGCCAGCCAGCCACCCTCCAGATGGCACCTCTTCCCGCACTGTCCTCTGTGCCCACCCTGTCGAGGCGGCAGCATCTCCGGCCTGGCTGTCCCTCTCCCACCCAGGCACCCATCCATTCCTCACGTGCAGCCAGATCATCTTCGGAATGTCTGAGTCAGGCGGTGCCCCAGCCCCACGGCTGCCCTTTGCACTACAACCCTCACCCCAGCAGGGCCTCTTGGATGCTTCCAGAATGAGGCCCTGCCTAATGCCAGTAATTGCAGGACTCAATGCATGACCCCTGTGTGCCAGGCATGGCTCAGGTGCTGGAAGAATGCAGACAATATGCTGTGTGTCCTGCAAGAGCCCTGGGAGGCAAGTGCGGTTTCCTTTCTGTTCTGCAGTGAATCGTGATCGTGAAGGGTGCTGCAGCGCCCCAGTGTCCATGCCACTCCCGTGAGGCTCTGCCTGCAGCCTGTGTGGACCGCGCTTGCCCTCATGAGGCCCACGGTGGCACTGGGCGGAGGGGACCCCGCTGTGCCTCCTGGCCCCTGCTCTGCCCCAGCTCTCATGTTCTGACCGTGGCTCTGATCTCTCCCAAGTCTGGGCTTTAGGATTTGCTGTCCCCGCGCCTCATGACGCGGCTCCTGCTGTGGTCCCATGGGCTTCTTCTTGCATGTCAGCTCCTTAGGCCTACCCAGACCCCTCTAAAGCAGCCCTGCAGGTCTTTCTCGACCACATGGCCCCGTCGTTTCCTTCAGGACATGTCTCACCGTCTGAAACCATCTGTTTATCGTCTTGTTTATTCGCTCTGTCCACGACTGTCAGCTCCTTGGGAGTAGAGAAGCCTGAATGGCTCACTGTGCATCCCAGTGCCTGGCAATTGTGGGTGCATAATAAATATTGTGGAATTATTTTCTGTGTGAGAAGCTGGGCCTGAAAGTGTGCACAGCCTTCCTTTGGTCCTGGAGGGTCTCCCGGGGCCACCCTGCTGCTGGACGTCTCCATGTGTGCTGAGCTTCCCTCGCCCGCCCCCTCTCCCTGGCCTGGCGAGGGGTTCAGCCAGCAGGTCCACGTTCGTTCATTTATCCAGTGTCCTTGGGTACCTTGAGCTGAGCCTCAAAGACTCAAAGTCGGTGCTGGTGATTCAGACAGGGAGGCCAGTAGCTGGAAAGAAAGGTCAGTCAGAGCCTGCAGATGTCCCCGTGTGCTGCAAGGCCATGTGACGAGGAGGATGGGGCTGGGGAGATGGCCCTCAGAGATGGTAGGAAGGCCTTGCAGGAGAGAGTTTGGATCGGGGGCAGTAGGGGCTAGGCTCAGAGAGGCACTTCGGGGCACCCTCCAGCTGTAGTGGGGAGGGTGGGCTGGAGGAAGGAGATGGGACCCACTGAGCTCATCGTCCTCCACATCTGGAAGGGGGCAGGGTGGTCTCTGCAGGTGCCAGTGAAGCACCTTCATTCCCATAGGGACACTAAGTGGCACCTCACACGCTGAGGCAAGATGAGAAGCTTAGCCCTACTGGCTCCTTTAGACACGGCATGGGGGCAGAATTTACCTACAGAGAGGCTGTGCGTACAAGGTGGCTGAAGCTGGGGGAGCCTCCCTCTCTGCTGTCCCAGGTCGGGGCAGGAAAGGGCAACCCAGGGCCTCAGCAGGAAGTCCCACACTATGCAATTGACATGCATGCTATCAATTAATCCCCACAGCAGCCCAGGAGGTAGATACTTAATTCCCATTTTATTGCAGCTGAAACTAAGCTCAAAGAGGTTCAGGACTTTCTTTCCTGAGACCATGGGCTCAGGAGCAGCAGTGTAAGACCCCAGGATTCCCGACTCTGAGCTCATGTCCCTTCCAGCCTGCCACGTGTCTGCTCAGCCCAGTGTGGCCACGTGGCATTGCAGATGGTTCAAGAACCCAGACTCAGGGGCAGGCATACGCTCCCGTCTCAGATTTCAACTGGCACCTTGCTATTCATACGTAAACACGCTTTCCTATTGCCCTTCTGTTTAGCACACTCACTGTCTTACATGCTGTCTTTTACGGATTTATCTTGTTTGCTGTGTCTCCTATCACTGGAAAGTAAGCTCTGTGAGGGGTTTTTGCTGTTTTGTTCACTGCTGTATCCCTGGAGTCTAGAACAATATAGGCACGTTGTAGGTGTTCCACAGACACTTGTTGAATGAAAATGAATGAAATGCCCGGTCCTGGCCTAGCTCCTGCTAAATCTAGAATTATCTTCTCAGGAGGGTTTTGGCATCTGTCAAACAGTGTGCACAGTTGTCCTCTGGCTTAAGCGTTTGGTCCCTAATTTCTGTGAAATCTCTTTGAAAGGCAAAAGTAGCAGGAAACACCTAGCATTGAAAGGGGCCTTAGGTTTCCAGTCTATACCCGCACTTCACAGTCATGGGCTTGGAGGTCCACAGACACGAGCTGCATGCTCGGTGTTGCAGGGCAAGCGGTGGGGAGGCCAAGGTTGGAACCACTGAGATGTCTAGACCTGTGATTCTTCCTTCCCCACCAGTGACCCACGAGAAACCTCGGCTAGACCAAGCAGGAGCTCACACGCACACGGATGGAATGGCTGCAAAAGGGGTTAGTATAACCTCGACCAGTTACATCATCACAAGCAGGGTAGGCATTTGAGAAAATTTGAAATTATGGAGAAACAAAAAAAATCATCCCCCAACTCTTCTTTTTAAGATGGAGTTAATTTTGGTAAAAATTGATGTAGATCCAAGTTGCTTTACAGCCATTTAAATCGACAAAGACGATTTATGCAGGCGATTGATGACTTACAGTCTATGAATGTGGCAGTCCCTAATTATCACCAGGCTAAGTTCCCAGGGTTCCTCTGGGAGTCAAATCCTCTGTCTTCCCCGTTTCTTCCTGTCTTCCTGTATCTTCCAAAGAATGGACACTTTAAATCATGACTTTGACCAGGCTGTCACTGCCACCACTGTGGTCTGAATGTTTGTGTCCCCCAAATTCATATGTTAAGATCCTAATCCCCAAGGTGGTGGTATTAGGAGGTGAGGACTTTGGGAGGTTGGGATTAGTGACCTTATTAAAGAGGCCACAGAGAACTGGCTCACTACTTCCGCTGTGTGAGGACACAGCTAGAAGGTGCCATCTATGAACCAGGAAGTGAGCCCTCACCAGACGCCGAATCTGCGGACACCTTGATCTCGGACTTCCCTGTCTCCAGAACTGAGCAATAAATTACTGTTGTTTATTAGCCACCCAGTTTATAGAGCAGCCCAAACGAACCAGGTGGCCACCTTCCATATGCCAGTTAAGGGTTGGCATATGATGTTGCCACAGCACGTCCTGTCAGCAGGTATGAGTTTTACTCCACAATTCTGGGCTAAGAATTGCCACATTTCTTAGATTCTCTGTATCTAATTGATTGACTCAGCACCCGCATCCTGTGGTCCTGGTGGGGGATATACCTCATGCCCTGCCATCATCGAATTCCCATCCTGTCTCTCAAGCACACGAAAAGTTCCCTGACATCCCCGCCTCAAGCATGTATCCAGTCAGTTGGGATCAGGCGGTGTCCCCATGCTGTGTTGGCTGTCCCCATGCTGTGTTAGCTGTCCCCATGCTGTGCCGGCTGTCTTTGCCTCTCTCCTCCAAGGTGATCTGTCTTCTTTCCTCCACTCTCCGAGAGTCTAGGGCCTTGGAGGCTGTCTGGCAGAGCTGT